ATCCAGCCCACAGCGTCCTGTGGGCAGCGTCCTGTGACCACTGATGAAGGACTGGAGGATGACCAACACAAATTGTGCAGCAGCAGATGAGCTATCGTCTTTGACTTTACATCTACAAGGTGGACTGACAAGGTAGGAGTGTCTAAAAGAGTGTACAGTGAGTGGACACAGTGTTTAAGAACTCCAGCAGCACTGCTGTGTCTGATGCACTCGTACCAGCACAACATACACTAACACACCACCACCACGTCAGTGTTAGTGTAGTGCTGAGAATGATCCACCACCCAAATAATACCTGCTCTGTGAGGGCCCATGGGGGTCCTGACCACAGATGAACTACAGTCTGTAACTGTAGAACTAGAGTGCACCTATATTAAGTGGAGCTGATAAAATGGACAATGAGCATAGAAACAAGGATAATCATAATGTTATGCCTGATCGGTGTATATGACCCCATATCCTGGCAGTGTATAAAAACGTCTGTATGTGCTTGTGCATGGTGAAATGAGCAGGTTGTGTGTGTACTAAAGGGGAGTTGTGTCCACAGCAGTAGTAAAGGGAGTATAAAGCTTATTAGTGTTAATAAGTGTTAATTTAGCTGATTCAGCAGAAACAATCTTGCTGTGTTTTTCTTCAATTAAATTCTGACACGCACACAATAACAAACAAGAGGCAAACATCTCTCCTCAGGCTTTGGTTTACTGGACATCAAGCTATCCTCCATTTGCTCTGTACACTCTTTCGTCTGAATCTCTTGCTAGTGTGTTATCAGCCCTGTTGTTTCTCCTCTTCTCTGTCTCTCCTTTAACCCAGTACATCAGTCCAAGGCTGCAACTGTAACTCAGACAACACACTTATGATGGACCAATCTTTTCTTCGCACACACACATACACAGACATGCACCGACTTTTTGTGTACCTATTTGCAATTACAATATGCCCCATAGGTATTACATATACAGTATTATGCAATTACGTATACAATATCATTCTTCATTTATTAATTTCCAGCAAAAAAAAATACTATTAAGAAGCTACTAATTTTTCAGGAGATATTTCAGAGTAGACTAGATGTAAGATAACCCACTTGCATAAGAAAAGGCAAAGTCAAAGGAAAATCCTTTCAGTAGACCACCAAAACTGTGACCAAAGTATTTAAAGCTTTCATCTTTGAGAGAGAGGAGAAAATCAAGCTCAACTCTTCCATCAGATCTGAAAAAATCCACAGGTGTTTCTGTCCATTCTTTCACTATGAGAAGACAACTCAATACTCTGGGTCTGAAAGGTTGTGAAGCAGTCAAGAAGCTATCTCTGAGAGAAGGAACAAAAGAAAAAAGAAGTACATTTACAAATCAAAAAAAGGAGATGCTGGTGCTCTCAGAATAATGGACTGACCACCCCAGAGCCCAGACCTCAACATCACTGAATGTGTTTGGGATTACCTGGGTCATGAGAAGCTGAAAACTTGTAAGACTGAACTTTGGAGGTGTGAAAAAAAACATTTCTGCAGATTTCTTTGAAAATCCGAAAGCAATTCTGCCCAAAAGAATGGAGACAGTAATAATGAAAAGGAAATGGACACACTGAATTGAAAAAGTACAATTTGTGTATTATATTTAGTTGTTGAGACTTCTGTGTAATTTTCTGTTAAGTATTTGTTTGCTTTTTTCCTGATGCTAAAACCCTCACAAAAAATACACATTGATAGAGTAAGCAGCAGTTTTAAGTATGTTAATGTCATCATTCAGGACATTCCAAATTTCTCCTCAAGGAAGCCCAGAATTATTTGTAGTTGTCATCCAATACCTGGTTTGACTAAGCAAGGGGTGTCCAGTCTTATCCACAAAGGGCCGGTTGGTTGCAGATTTCCTTTCCAACAAAACAGGAGAACACATGATTAATTGTTTAGAGACTTAGGTAAGCTCATTAAACACGTGGAATCAGGTGTACTTATGCTTGTTTAGAATGAAAACCTGCAGCACACCGGCCCTTAGTGGATGATTGGACAACACTGGACTAAGCAATACAAAGTTAAATCAAGTGTGCTAGTGATATAATTTAACACATCAGTGTGATGGTTGGGGGGGTGTCAGAGAGAAATGTGGAATCAAACTGTTCTCTTCAAACTAGCTCACAAGATATCCACTACTTTTTTGAAAAAAGAAAATATTTTTACTGTATTTAATTTATATTTCAATTTAGTCTAATGATATATTGAGTGACCAAAAAGTTACTTTGAGTTTTAAATGGTCAAATATGTAGCTTTTGTAAAAAATCACTTTACAGAATGAAGTTACCCCTGTTTTTCTCTGTTTTTTTTTTTTACACATGCACACACACAAATAGAGAGAGAAAGAATTAGTCAGGAAAAAGTCTGTGATTTGGAGAACAACAACGGTTATAGATCATTTTTTGTCAGAAGTGTCTAGAGCTGATATGAGGCCTGCCTATGAAATCACTGTTTTGAAAAAACTGGAGAAAGACACTGGTGACTGGGAGAAAAGGAAACTCTCAGGAGGAGTAGAATTAAATGATATTTCACAATCATAAAAACAAAGGTGCCAAAAATGTTCTTTGGAACAATGCCATAGATGAACCACTTTTGGTTCCCTAAAGATCCCTTCAGTGGATGGTTCTAAAGAACCATGTTTGTCAATGAGAGGTGTGAAGAACCATTTTGAGTTGAGAGTCTCCACATTATGTAAAGGCTCTACAGTAATTAATGCAGGCCAAAAGAATCAACACTTAAGAACTATTATTATTTTTTTTTTTAAGAGTACACTTCCACTTTAGAACTGCTACTGGAGGACTGGTGCTGAAAAGCATGAAACTTCTTTTAGCATCAAAGGTTCAGAGTAATGCAAATGCTAAACCTTCTCCAAAAGGAGAGACTTGTGAACAATTCTAGTAGCTTATTATCTGACATGCATTCTTTTCTTGGAATACACACCCTAAGGTCTGCAAATTGTCTCAAAATATCTTTCCCGTACTGTAGAGGTTTTATTTTCCCTGGCTCTAACATACCTCAATTTGTGTAGGAGTATAAAAAAAAGTATTTGTTCAACAACCTCTTTAAGGACAGATTTCCCTGGAAAACTGCAGTGGAACTTAATACATCCAACATCTATCAGCATAGTAACTGAAGTTAGGTGCTAAGTATCTCTTTTTGTGACTTTTGATCTAAAATAAAGTGCTCCAAATTGGGAATGAACAACAGTAAAGCAGTCCAATAGCTGAACTACATAATGAATACAATAGAATATATTTTCCTCGCAAATATAGTTAGGTAGAAGTAAAAGAACTATGTGAATATGATCAGAAATGTCCACTTTTGTCAAAAAACACAGTACATGTAACTGGATAAATGGGTACAAGTTACTACCCAGCTCTACCCGAGGATTACAACTGAGAACTGAGAGTTCTAACCTGCTCTGCACTGTGTGGCCGGCAGAGGGCGCTACAGCAACTTTATAGATAGCAAATAAAAAAAATGTATGAATGACTTTAAAAGTCAGAGATGAAGGGGCACATTTACTGTGGCACACAGGCTGTGAGTCAGGCACACACGTCTGGTAAAGGGGGAAAAAAGATTTATATACAAAGTTTTCAAGCTGTACATTCTTCAGGTATTTGAGATATAGTTGTACTAAAGTCTTGTGAGTTCAGGTAAAGTGGGACACTTAGGCTTTTGTTGGACTGTGCTTTGGCTTAAAATACAAATACAAATCAATCAGTAAATCCCGACGTAAGAATGAGGTCACACAAATTCCTGATCCAAGATGTTAAGACTATAGTTTTGTCAAGCACTATGTAATTTGTCTGTTCCTTGATTTTAAATAAGTATGTGTTGACAGTAATTTAAAATAGATACTACCAACATTTGTCTAATCTTTTATCTGCTTATAATGGCCCACTCAAACTGAAAGCCACAGATCCTTCAGATCCCTTTTAAACACTCCTTGAGAAAACAAAGAAGGCTAAACTTATTTAGGAATAAAAAGTTATCATTCGAGGTGCGGCGAGTGACTTGGACAGACTTTCCTCACGTTTGCCTCAAAAGTGTCCCTACTTTACCTGAAATCACCTTCGCATTTCACTGAAGTAGTGAAAGTGTTTAGCCAGCAGCTATGATTTTGCTTCGCTTCGCTCCCGCTTCGCCATGACAACGAGACCCTCGCGCCAGCTGGATACGGCCAATCGCAACTCACGTGGTCGTCGCGCGCTGAAGAGAGCCAGTCTTTCCGCACGCACGCACGCGCGCGCACACGCGCGCGCACCTGTACGTGGCGATGAACACACACACGCATATACCCGCGGACCAATCTGATCACGCCCTAATTATCTCACCGCTCTTTCCGTGATGACCGACCGGCTCCGAAAAAGGCGAGCGGATCCGCCGTCATGTGATTCCTGTAATAATTCCAGCTCAGTGTGCGCATACCCTTAACAGCAGGAAGCTCACTGCTATTTTAGCACGTAGCATATAGGCTGGAGTACAGTACCACTCCATGCCATGGTGTGGTGTAACTTAATAACAATCCGATAACAACCTTATAAACGGTAACTATAGTTACTGTAGAGCTGTTTTACGTTGATGCCTACAGTCTGAGACAAAATGTTGAAAACAGTCACTGTGATAGAGGAACTGACTTTAGAGTTATATAGTTTTATATCTTTTAATGCTGCCATTGCCATACTGTAAAAGACAAGCTCAATAATGCTGGTTTATGTTCCTCTCCTTTAACCTCACTTGTGGTTAATGTGTTCAATTGAAATGAAACTAAATTAAAAAGGGGGCAGTAGGAAACCATATAATTTTATTAACCACTTTGTAGGTTAATCGTTAAGTCAAAGTTTGCGCGTTGAACTTCATGACTCCGTTAACTACCACGCTGTCCGTCAAACCGGCACCACACAAGAAATATGTCATTTGGCCACGCCCACCACGGACACTGTCCAATCAGAGGCGACCGTATGTACATTTCAATCTCACTCGCTGCCGGAGTGACCGACAGTTGAAACCGCTCGAGCCCGAGACCAAAGACGTCGACGAGCTAAACGTGTCTTCACGGCGGCGTGTAACAAGCACGAAGAGGAAGAAAAGGAGGAAAAGAAACAGCACCCAGTTTTGGAAACCCGCCAGAAGAAGCGGAATTTGAGGCTCTGTACGTTTCGACGACACACTTGTGCCGGTGTTTGATACCCTTCTCGTTTTTTAGCCGGCACTCGCTAGCTAATTTTCGACCTGCATGTTCAGTGAGCTGCCATAGCTCGGAGTTGCATCAGAGAGGCAGACTTTGAGTTTTTCCCTCCTCATCCTCCCTTTTCCTCGATTGGCACGAACTTGAAAACGAGTGACACGTCAAGTATGGGATTATCACGGTGATGTGGATTGTAATTCCGTTTGAAGAAATCCTCGGTTTACTTCAGAACAATGTGAGAGGATTCGCCTCCTGGGTTCTCACATTTCTGGATATTTTGAAAACTGTGAGCAACGGCTGAGAGACCTTCTTTCTTTCTCCCTCAGGTGTCTCGCCTGCTTGTGTCTTGTTGGGACCAAAAGAAAAAAATGGGATTCTCGCCAGTTTAAGCTCTCTGATCCCGTTTGGAAATTCTCCTCATGTCTACCCCATTTTCAGAGACCCTCTCCAATGCTTTTGAAAAAGTTCGCCTATCGTCCGATAGGATTTTAAACAGACTTTCACGCTTTGCCCTTTCAATCATGAACTTTGCTGTCCGCTTGCTGCAGCTGTTTTGTGTGACGCTTCTGTATTTTTCAGCTGTAAAGGTAAGTGTCGTGTCTCCCTCACACGGGGGTGCTCGCCTACTTTGGTCATTTTACACTCTCGGCCAATGTTGGACGTCCTTGTCGCTCTCTCTGCGAGGTCATTGACTGTGTTTGTGTGTACCTACCTAAACGCGTGATTACATGAAATAAAACCCAATCTGGTATACCAGCCAAGGCGGTTCTTCAGCAAGCAAGGAGTTGAGGGGTTGAATGTAAATTACCCACTAACTAGTGTGTGTGTGTGTGTGTGTGTGTGTGTGTGTGTGTGTGTGTGTTCGTTCGCCTGTTCGTCCGTGTGGTCGGTTATTGTAAAGGCCTCGTCACAGCCACCGTGGGGGGATATGAAAGGCGCAGGCTTGGGGGTTTAGGAAAAGAGACTGGCTTGCCGTGCCAGTCAAGACTAAATCACCTATAGCCAACAAACCACGTAGTCAATTAGTATAACCTCAGCATAGCTGTCGGGTACATTTTCCATGAAAGTTGGCGACTTGAATATTGAAGATGAGCCTCAAGTTACTGAAAAATAGCTTAGCCATGTAATTAATGAGGACCATTCGGACATTTTTTTTAAAAACTGAGCCCATGAAGTCATATAAATGTACTGTGTGTATATAGCTATTTTATGCTTTCGCAGTGTTCACAGTTCATCACCCTGCTTGGCTTTCAAATGATGCAGGCCTGTTGAATGAAAACGTGTACAGACGGTTTCCAGTAGGCATGGGAGATCATCTTTCAGGGTTGCACCCTCCAGAGAAGCCCAGTAGCCTATCACCTAGCAAACCTACTAATTTAATACATTGTTTTCTTCTCTCCAGCAAGTGCAGAAATTTGAGATACAAGCTTATTTTGGGCAGTTTGTCCACTCTCAAACAAAACGCAACCTAAAAGAAAGTAACTTGACAGAAAATGCTTTTGTTAATTCTATAGGCAACAGTGCTCTGAATATATGTGTGATTTGCAAAATGATGTCCCTCATGTGCTTTTGAGAATGATTGGTAGGTCTGCAGAGTGATATAGTAGTTTGGTGAAGGGTTAATAGGCATTGCAGGAAATTAACCTAGTTGTACTCCAGGGAGTTGGATGAATTTCATGATCTATAGCTACCTAGTGATTTGTTACATCATAGGCTGCTTTGAGCTGATATTTATCTCATACATCATCAGTCTTTCAGGCTCTATATAATTCTGTAATAGGCATACAGTAGTACAGGCTCTTAGTCATTTAGGCATTTTAAGAAATATAGCCTTGATTTCCAAGAACATTGCAGTAGGATACATAGTGGATGTGTTATGTGACAACTGGTAATTAAAAACAGAGATTACACATCAGTTGCAATTCACTAACTAATAACAGTAACAACACAGGGTGAGGTTTATTCTCAGTAGTCCAACAAAGAGAAGGGGGTGCTATTGTTCTCACAACTGAAACCACTTGACAAAATAAGAAATACAAAGCTAAAATTACTAACAGGCAGTTTTAGGTCTTATATCTAGCAATGTCATGTTCTTAATCGTGTTAGAAGCATTTTTCCATCATATAAAACATTTAATGACTGTGACATGACAATATGACATGGCAAGCTTGCCTTATAGGCTGGACGTACAAGCCAGCTAGTTATTTTCCCATCTGCCTTCACATAATAAAGTGAAAAGGAAAAAAATGGAATTGGAGGTGTAGAACTTTTTGTATTCCAGATTTTTTGTATTCTTTTTGTATGTGCGTCTTTCTGCATCAGAGTGTGTTAAAGTGTACCTCTCAGGTTGCTAGTCCAACGAAGTACGTGCACACCTGCACCAACATTATTATGATTTATGATTCTCGCCTCATGATTGTGCCCACTTTGCACTATGGGTGTAAAGCAGTACTCAAACACAGATGCAGATCTGTCTAGCTCAGTTATGTTCCCCAATAAAGACACACAATAATGGATATTTTCCATGCTTTTACTGCTGTATACCGTCTTTGTACCGGCTTTTAACATGCCAGAGATTAGCAAAAATGTATTTTAAAACCGTGAGCGGTGCTCCTTAAAACATTCACCGGGTGTGAGTCAAAGCTGAAAGGCTCCCTTTACCTTTCTCTGGCATCATTCCCAAGATTACATCATATCAAAAAGTGAAATGCAGTTGGGCCATGCAATGACTAAAAGATATTGCATTGTTCAGTATGTATACATGTATTTGTATACAGTGCGAAAAACTTCTGAATGAAATTTGTGGGCGGGGCTGAAACTAGGGCTTTTAGGGTCAAGTAGAGCATCCAGAAACATTACACAAGTAGACAAAATGTAACTGAGATGACTGTAAGCCAAATACTAGGCCAGAATGTTCACAAGTTCATGAGTGTGATTTGAAATGTTTGTAGGCAATCTCATTGTTTTTACATTTCATGCCATTTCAAAAATGTATTCCTAAAGATAATATTGCATTTTTGATGAAATTGACTTTTCTTCGACAGAGTGCCTATATCCCCAAAGAGAGTGGAGGAAGTACACATGACGGTAAGTTTATGATGGTGTGTAAGAAAAACATAAAATGAAAAGTGCTGCTTTACATTCGTAATGCACCTGCCCAAATTTAGATGAGTTTGGTGCCCTCTAGTGGGCAGACATGCTACTCTGGGATTCCAGTTGACGTTTATGAAGAAATCATGATGAATTAGTAGTATTGTTCTAACCTAATGACTTGTTTTGTAAGAGTGCTGTGTATATTAGAAGTCAGGTTTTGGATCTTATCCGGATATAATGACAGCTGAACTTGCACAACTGCTCAGTTGCACAATTCCCATCAGTTTCTTTTGAAAGTGTTGACTTGTTTTTTGTGAGACTGCATTGACATACTAATAAACTCTCTGTCTCTTACATAAACACACACACACACATCATATGCAGGTCATGTACGTAGGGGATCTGAGGCTTTGTTAAGATGTGCTAGGAGACCAGGGAGGAGCAGTAGATCCGGTTTATAATCTCAGTAAGCCCAGTCTGTGGGGATTTGTCACGTTAACATCTTGATTTTAGTTTGTATTGTATTGTTCAGCCCAGTGGATAAATACAGCTTCAGTATTAAAGTACACTTTAGTTTAAACTTTGTTTCACTTTTCAGACAACACAGTTCAGAGCACGTAGTTCATGTCTGTAGCCCCCTGGTGGTGTACATACTGGATACCTCAGTCTGCTGAAGTTCATTTAAATTTTTACAATGGAAAAATACAAGTCATTAGGAGCTGCATATTCAACATTGTAAATATGAGATTTCTGTGTGGCCCTGCATTGTTAAAATCAAAAGAGAAAAGCTGAAAGGCCTGCCACACCTTTCTGCTACTTTTCTTAGGTGCAATCCACTTAATTTTCCCAGCAAGCTTGGGCTTGTAATAATATGTGGATATTAATGTCATATTGTGTCTCTGTAACAACTTGATTAAATTAGAAGTGAATATGTAATATGTCTTCCACTCCCTTTGCAGTGGTGTCCTTTACTGAGGTGTATAATAAGTCGATGTGTCGGCCGCGGGAGCTGCTAGTGGAGGTCCAGCAGGAGTACCCAGACGACATTGAGCACATCTTCATTCCGTCCTGTGTGGTGCTCATGCGCTGTGCCGGCTGCTGCAATGACGAGATGCTGGAGTGCATGCCTACAATCACGCGCAACATTACCATGGAGGTCAGCATTAATCTCAGTGACATGAGGAATTTTTTTTACATTTGCTTGTTTTCTTTTCCCCCTCCCCAATCTCCTGTTTATTTGTAATATTGTATTTCTTGTTTTTAGTTTTCATCTTGATTATAATTCATCTTTTTTGTACTTTTGCCTTATTTAAACCTGTCACAATCTTTATGTAATTGCCTGATCAGTTAATTGAGCTGATTGCAATTATTTCACAATCATATGTTTACAGCTTAACAAACAAAATGTGATTGGGTTTGTCTTCATCAGTTGCTTTGACACAAATACATGTAAACAAAAGAAAATGCATTTATGCGTTTCGTCACAAACATGACTACTGCTCTATATATGTGGTTTGTTTTAGAGATGCACTAATATGGAAATTCTGAGCAGAAAACAACCACTAATTAACATCTTATTGTGGCTGATACAAATACAAAAACTGATGCGCACGATAAAAGTACACTTAATGTCTAATAAAGGTGTGTAGGCACCTGCTCATCCAGTCTTTTGTCTGAATTCAAGGGTATTAACAGAGATTATGTCCTCCAGTTGCTGGGATGACTAGATGTTGGAACCATGGCTTGCAGTTCTTTGGCATAAGGCTGGGCTGTTTTAGATTAAAAAAAAAAAAATGGATAATTATAAAACAGATTGAAGTATAGAAGTTCCAGTCCTAAAAGTTGATTGGCTGAGCTGTGATATAAGCCATTGTAAATTACTTGAAATAAACACACCTACAACCACGTCACAACAACTGAATTCTGTATTATTGTGTCAAGTTATGAAAATCCTTGTGCTGTTGGAATAATGGAATAATGTTGCTTTCATGGACTGTGTACTGATTGGCGCTATACAAGACTCGCGGTGAAAATTTGGTGACCAATAACTACTTATAAAGCGAAGTCTTTTGCATTAACCAGTGTTATATTATTGTAGAATAATGAACATGTCATAAAAGTTGAAAAGTTCATGAAAAGAACACCAGCTTTATATGAGTAGCAAACAGTAAAGCTTGCTGGCTAGCTGTGTTAGCTAGCAATTTGCCACACAGCATCTTTCTTTCTTTTATTTCTGTGAACCCCAGCTACGGTTATTGAAGCAGTACTTCGGATAACATCAACCTTTCATGGCTTGTGCCTTAGCACAGTGGTTGTGCTGTGACATGTGGTTTCCCTTTTCAAACATAGTTGTTTGTGGTTTGGCCGTGTCTCTGACATAATGTAGCAGCTAACATTAGCTGTTCAAACTACGCTGATAAAGAAAATTTATGTTGGCGGTTTAAGAGTACAAAAATCGCTGGTAAAAGTGACACAGAAAGCTGCTTTATGTTAGCTGGATAACAGTTTGGGTTAATAGCCGCTGTAAGCAATGGCTTCTAGCTAGCATCGCTAGCTACAGATAAACGAGGCCTATAAAATTCACACTACGTATACAAGTTCTGCTTTATCTTTAAAACGTACATATTACAGAAATCGCTGGCATGTTGTAACACTACTGCTCAAATCAGACTGCTTGATTTGAGCAGTAAACAGAGCTGCCCCGCACATACAGCGTTTTAACTCTGTTTAAGTTGAATCAGTGCTTCCATCCGCTTCTTATTCTCACTATTTGTCATGAGAGTGCACAGAAACGTTTTGACTGTTGTAGCTCAGTGCTGAGGTACACTGCAATAATGTTTTGATATAGCTTGTGCAGTAGTTAGTATATAGAAAGAAAGTGAGTTTTACCCTGCTAATGCTTAAACTGGTAGTAAGCGAGACTTTTTGTGGAGATATGCTGCACACGCTGTTTAGAAACCAATGGAGGAACGAGTGTTGACTGACAAGTTTGAAGGAAAGGCTTATTGAATATTCTTTATGGCTCTAAAATTTGTGTTTGGACTTGGATACAATTATCATATGTTGTTTTGCCCAAACTATTGTTTTTGTTAGTTTTGATATAAAAACTTGTTGATATTCAAGTAATTATTTTTTCCTTACATAGAACTCCCCTTTTTTTCAATTTTTTTTCTCCTAACCCCCTGAAGACATTTCAGGAACAGAAATTTTCTTTGCTTTAAACCCTGTAGAGCATTCTTGTGAGGATTTGATTGCATTCAGCCACAAGAACATTAGTGAGGTCAGGTACTGATGTTGGTTGATTAGCTGGATCACAGACAGCACTTGATACCCTATAGATATTAGATGAAGTTCTTTCACAGAAAAACACAGCTCCACTGCTCCACAGCCCAATGCTGGGGTGCATATACCCCTCTACCTGACACTTGCAACTGGATATGATAACAATGACCTCTAGGCTCATGTGCAGCTGCTCCAGAGCATCCCATTCTATTGACGTTGCTTTTCTATAGAGATTATACAAACTGTGTGTTGGCTACTGAATGCATGTATCAGCAACGGGAGAACCTTAAAGTAGATGAATTCACTACTTGTAAAGGGGCCCTGGATACTTTCGGATATGTAGTGTACAACTTAAGGGCTGGTTGTAAATATTGACCGTAATAAATAATAATAATAATAATAATAATAATAATAATAATTATTATTATTGTTATTGTTGTTGTTATTATTATTATTATTATGTTCCCATTTTATCTGTGAATAATATATTATTCATTAATCAAGCACTTCTATTTTGTTTTGCTTGTACTCTCCTTTGTCTCTTTTACCTGTCTCTGGCTAATATGCTTTTGCTATCTCATCCTTTTACTGTAACTCTATTTTTACTTATTTATTTTCTCTTTTTCACACTTGCCCTCACTGTTACTGATGTGATTCCAGTTCAGAAAAAAGTAATCCACATTCTAGCTGCATTCACCCAGCTTCATTCTAAAGTGGCATTTATGTGCAGCTAGAGTTAGCATCACAACTGCACAAAACAGTTGGGGTGTTATTGAGTTGTTTTTTGGTGGCCCAATCTTAGCACCTTTAGGGACTTGCCTAAGGCATGAGAAAGTGCCACAGGTTCCAGGTGTCTGAGATCAACTACATAAAACTAAGTTTCTGAGGGAATTCAATAGATTTTCAGGTGTAATAAGGTTAAGTTGTTAACATATGCAAATCTTATGAGTATCAAATAGTGCAACTCAGGGAACTGTGCGTGTCTGGTGTATTATGTTAATGCGCTTTTGTATTGCTTCATTGTGTTTCCTTATAGGTACAAAGATTAAAACCCCTACGCAACAAAGGCATCTCTTTAATGAGCTTCACAGAACACATTGAATGCCAATGCAGGTATTACTCTCTACTGTAATGACACTGTCAAAAAAGCTGACATTTTGTTCAAGTTTCGAGTCACCTTTATAACTCTGTCATTATGAATTTGCTCCTTCTCCATCTCTTTTTCTGTCCATTGCTTTATGTTAACATTTGTCATAAGTTAATTTAGTAGACACAGCTAGTGAAAACATCAATTATGTCTATTGAACCATCTTGTGAGAAATGTCAAACTCAGGGCTACACTGATATCTATTGTCAGTCGTATCTGTTGCTCTGGGAGTGGCCTTTTATCTTGGCTCAAAGTTAATGGCCACCATTGGGCTGTTCCCTTGTAGTCAGTGTGCATTCAGGTCTGCTAAAATTCAAACAAACACCGGATGAGGTAATGTCTCCTTCTTTGTTTCTTTTTTTCAGGCTAAAGAAAGACATCCAGGACAAGACAGAAAAGTAAGTGCACCATATTTGGGTCACAATTGTCTTCTGTGTGCTCAGCAAGACAGTGGTCTCTTTGGTCTCTTTAGTTCCTTTTCTTTTTTCCTGCTTCTGTCTTTATCTCTACAGTCTATAATCACATCTACCTACATATCTTCCTTCTTTTTTCTTTCTTCTTTTCTTACCTACATTGTTTCCTTTGTCCCTTTTGTTTTGTCTACCATACATCATCGTATTGTCTGTGGTTGATAGAGATTCTCATCCTCATCAGCATCCATATTCAGATCTTGCTACCTAATATATAGATATGTTTGGTGTTTAAAGCTGCACTATGCAGTGTATGGCTGAATAGTAAAGCTGAAGATACAAGTATAAGACATCCATAAATATTGTGACCTCCGCTACCTCACAGGTGAATGGCAGGTGAGTTTGAAAAAGATTTATTGAGTGGCAGTGACTGTTGACACATTAACTTCACCTCTCTGTGTGTTAAAGCCACTGCACAGGTGAGTGACACCTGCACAGTCAGTGCCCTCTTTCCCCATACATTCCTGAGAGCACCTGCAGTGATCTTTTTTTTTTTTTATGATGTGAACTAAACCAGCGAGGTGATAGGGAGTTCATAGTTCATGATGTTTTAGTGTTCTCAGATAAGAGTGTACTCTTGAATTTAGCTTCTACACTTTATGACTTTCTTCTCTAAGTGACCTGGCGTACCTCACTATTAGATACTGTGGAGGTTAATACCTGTTTATGTCCTTTTATGACTGGCTTGTGGTGTGCTTGTAGAGTGAGTAGTAAAATGTTTTCTGGTGCATGAAGATCTGAGTGTTCTAGAAGGTGTTGCTACCACTTCAGAGCTTGTGAGGCTGAACGCTTTTCTGCAGTTTCTTGTAAACGACTTTGGATAATGAGGACGTTAGGATATAGGCTTCATATATGGCCTTTTTATTTTAACAGTGGTAGAATAAAAAGGTATATTCTTTTGACTTCACAGATTTAATCAGTAATATTCTTGTCTTTCCCTCGATTTGTTGATGTTACCATAGCCTACCATGGGATGAAACCCCAGAACAAGTCAAGAAAATAGTTATAGTTTCTTCATCATTGAAAACACCCATGTGATTCTTGTTGTTTGGACTAGTCTTGCTTACCTATTACCATATATTTCATGGGTATTTAGCATTCTGACATGCTCCTGACTATTTTTTTTTTCCCATTTTGATTCATGTCACGTGTCGTGTTTGTGGTTCATGTAATCCATAATGGACCTGTCAAAAATCTCATCAGTGTCAGTGTTACTGTTGATAGTGTCATATTCCCCTGCTTCTACATTCACATGTCCTTTGTTATGAATGAGAGCTAATAAGCTTAAAAAATTGTTGAATTTAGACTAAATGAGCTGAGAGGGTTGTTGCTTCAACTTTTCCATTTATTTCTATACCACTAGACTTCTACATTGACTGTTTGGTTGGCCTGTTGCATCATCTCCAATTCAGTTGTTGTTCTTCGTTGTTGTTTTTTGTTCCTTTTCTAGAAAACCCCGGAAGGGCAAAGGAAAAGGTCAAAAGAGAAAGCGAAAGAAAAACCGTGACAAAAAGCAGGACTTGTATGTCACCTCAGCCTTCTCCTCCACCCACCTGCACTTGAGTGTTATGCTCTTGGTCATCAAATTAATTTGGGAGGAGATATTTTGTCTCCTTTAATCAGTTCAACTCACGATTTAATTAGCATTAATTCACCCCCAGGTATCATATCCAACCTTACCTTTACTTTGTTTAAAGTAATTATAACATGCAACCTCCAACTCAATCTTCTTCACTCTTAGGGCCGAATTTGCTAATTGGCAAGTGCTAGAACTGATAGTGTGCAACAACCGACTAAAGTATTTTACCGACTAGTCCCTAGTTTCTTCAGTGGTTTGTGCTGAAGTAAATCAGCAAAGGCCTTGGCAAATCTAGCTCTATGATTGGTAAGGAAATTAAAAATAATTTTACGGTAACCGAGCACACTTCCCCCTTTTCCTATTGCATGGCTTACAGATAATGATACTAATCTTTGAGGATCTTTGTTGAAATCGTGGCCATGTCAGTGTTGAGTCTGTCCTGTGTGCTGTGTCTCGAATATAATTTTTTTTGTTTGTTTCTTTTTTTCTATTCTTTTTAAATAGATCTTTCCCACATTGCTGTCCTGTTTGAGATTCAAGCAGAACTGATTTTTATCATTTCTTGTTTTTCTTTTCCTTTATTTGCTTTTCTGAGTTATGTAAATCAACAGATATTTTGGTCTGAGATGTTGTCTGTTGACTGTGTGGTTTGGCGCTTTGATGGACACGTAAAACAGCCTGTCTTTTGTGTAATGGAAGAAAGAAGCATTGCTGTCTTTCTTTATTCTGGTCTTTTGGCGATTGGATACTTACATACATTGTCCTTTCGAAAAAACTGACATTGGGGCATTTTGTAGTCCATTATATACTGAAGACAGGTAGGTATGAATATCAGGTGTATTAGGTTAAAGTGACAATAATTCAGTAATGTTATGTTTCTCTTATCTTGGTCATAGGCCTGTCAGTATCATTACATAATCACTTAACTGCAATTAATTGATCAGTTCGATCTTTTTAACCTAGATTTCACAGTACTCTCATTTCTTCATCATATGTTTACGTTGTAACAAAGACAATGTGAATTAAGTACTTTTTCAGACAGATGGGTTAGTTTGAGACAAATAAACTACCAGAACAGAATGTCCTACTGCTCTATATGAATAGTATGTCAGAGAAACTAAATTTAACAAATTTTCCCATTACTCCAAATGTAGCAGATTACAAAGATTTTCACTTCTTCAGTTTTTCACTGAATCTGTGATGCTAATGTAGCTATGAACTGAAGAGTCCCATACCCCATCTGTTAGCACGTTGCAAACTGCCTGCTGAAGTCACCACACACCTGCCTCACAAATTAAGTAATCTCACAGACTTGTTTATGTGGTTTCTGGCATGCAGTGATGTACTGTAACGTGTAAAAAGAATGGACAAAAATATGTACAGATTTCAGGCTTTAAGTTTGCTGCCAATACTGTTTTAGCTGTATGTCTTACTGTTGTCCACATCAAGAATAGTCAGTAGCAAATAGCTTTAACTAAGTTGCCTTTAGCCTGAGAAGGTCAACATGTTAGTGTTGCCTGAAATCTTACTTAAATTAAATGAACCAAACTTTTTTTTTTTTTTTCAATCAGTTCGTTGACTCAGTGAAAATAAAATAGAGTGCTAAACTTCTACAGTCTTAGCCTGTGTACACATTAGCAGGTGACAGAGACACAAGTGACCAGCCCTTTTCTATGTGAGTACACGATTTGTAGCTGCGATTAAGCAGCGAGTGACGTGGCGGCAGGATGACAAACAACAAATCAACCTGAGATTTTCTCAACTTTATGCAAATAAACTATTCAAAACAATTCGCTCCAACAATTGTAGACACAGGGCTCGGAGGTCTCCAGCTTCTACTCTCTGAACTACCGGCATTTTGTTTCTATTCTCAACACTACAATACTAAACGTGGAAGAGGGACTCATAACTACTGTTATACTCAGTGGCTGTTTTTTCTCCAAATATATAAATTTCCGGCAGGAATATAAGTGGCAAGAAGTGGGAAGAGATTGGCTTGTCAAGGTTTAATAAACTGTAAAACATAATTTAAACTGTTAGCCACATCTAATTTATGTATTTTAATTTATTGAATTTAATTTGTTTTAAATGTAGTTATAAAATATATATTTAATAATTTTTAGAAAAAGAATTGCAACAAGTATAGTATAAATATATAGTATTATTTCTTAACGGAAGCTGAATCATGTACATGCCCACGTGAGTCGACACAAGCGGTCTCGAACACACCCATAAGAGACAAACTTGGTGATGTCATTGTTAGTGTAAATGCAGGTTTATGTGGAGGTCTCATCTGTGAACAGTTACTACAGCATCTAAGCAGACTCAAAAAGGAATCACATTCTACACCAGGCTTTGGGACAATGGCGTAATCAAATATTATAACTATTTCAGTTCCAACAGAAATAAATTGAGATAGAACTACTAAAACAGTGAATTAAAGTGCTGCATGTTGAGGTACGTCATTTAATAATTTATTTTTTGCATGTGCAAGCTCTGTTGACAGGCCAACTACAGAAAAAAAACAAGATTTTTCTAGCTTACAGAACGCTGTGAGCTTTCACTTCTCATCACTTGGCAACATTCAGTGCTGAAGTTAGCATATTATGGAATGTACTGTCTTTTCTAAAAGCAGGACTACCAACTATTTTCTGTTTGTTTTGATGGCAAACAATAATAAAAACACATAATAAATGTAAAGCATGGTTTCACATGCGTAACTAAATTAATAACAAAAATAAAATGTGTTTTATACAGTGCAAAAGTCTTAGGCAGCCAAGAAAATCATTAAAAAATATTTATCTCAGCAATAATTGTATTTTCTGATTAAAACATAAGATTGGAATAAGTACAAATAAACATAAATAAAACGGGTAAAACGTAACAAGATTTTTTTGTTTTTAAAAACATTAATATGTTGGTTATAAGAGAACAGTTAGTAGAACGCAAGCTTCTGACTTCTCAGTGAACTCCAGCTATTGTGTGGATATGTTAAATTCCATCAGCAGCACACCTGATTTAATTTACTGAAGGATAGATTACACAAACTAGGGGTATTGGATGGTAACTAAACATACTGGGTTTCCTCAAGGAGAGGTTTGGAAATGGTCAACACATTCACGCATGCGAAATAACAATGTATTGTTTATTTGTGTTTATTCTAATGTTACTGTTTGGTTTGTTTGTTAGTTTAGCAAACACTTACTGCCTGAATAAATGGCTCTCCATAAAATTTTCTCAGATTGTGTAAGATTTTGCACAGTCCCACTGTGCAAATGTGGTATTGATTAAAACTATAGAATCCTCACTTTTTAAATAATTTATCTGCTTGTTTCTGTGAGTTTAGAGTTAGAAATAAACATGGGTATAAAACTACACCATGCTTTCTTCCATCACTTTGACTTTGACTAATAGCTAAGCTGGCTATACTGCTTCCTCAGGTGACCATTTAGATGTGACGTAAATTTGATCTTTAGCCATATGGAGTTGATTTTATCTTAAACCGCTTGGTCCAGCTAAGGTAGCAATAGGAAAAGCAGGGAATCTTGAGGATTTTTAATTGTAAAAATTTTACAGTAAAACAGACTAGGCTAGCATATTGTACTCCTAATTTAGCTAGCAAACTGGCTATTAAAATTATAGAACATTAGCCATATAACTGGAGAGATTTGATAGGAACTGTAAGACCATCAAATAATCAAAAACACGATAAAGGACAATAAAAAAGTGCATGTTCAGAAGTAAAATCGTCCCATTTTATTATTCAACCTGAAATGTTTCCGGTGAAGGGACACTACCTGATTGTTCATGCCTATGTTTGAGTTAGCTGTCTGGCTAGGTATTTTTAAAGGGACCATTGCACATGGTAAAAGTGGATGTACTAACTATTGCTTGCCGCTAATTTGTTTCACAACTCCTTGTGACCACTAACTTGTTTCACAACTTGTTTCACAACTCCTTTTTCTTCCCCTTTACAAAAATAAGTTGTGGATATTAGTTATTACTCTTTGGTTCAGATTTCACTGTTGAGTGGACTTGCCTCCTGGAAATCTTATCAGATGTTTGACCAGGGTGTGGCCAGGGTCTCAAAACAAATCTTGGTGATGTCACTACATTCTACAGGTTCTTTTTGTGCCAAACTTCTTTTTGTGGCAACTTTAAAGTTCACAATCTTAATATATGCAAATATTATTTTACTATAAGATCTGGGGCAAGATTAGCCCAAACCCCAAGTATTTACATTAGAGAAATGCCAAAGGATGCTTTCAGCCCACAATGACTGTGTGGGTTAAACTTTTGAATATTCTGGTGGATCTAAATACATCCCTAATAGTACTGGCAGTCATTCTATGAGAGTCATTTGGTCTGATGATTGCTCTGGATGGTTTCATAATAGCCATTTTACAAGACAAGGTTCAGTCAATAGTGCAAGCACTCTTCCCTCATGGTGATTCCATATTTTGGCTCTAGGCATCATGGAGTCTCAAGTTGCATCACATTTTTCATGTTAAGTGAAGGTGCCAATAATTCTGATGCTGTATTGGGACCTACAGTACTGTACAAAAATAAGAGACCACCCTATATTTTTATATTTCAGCATCAGGGAAAAAACCTAGAAAACCTATATTGAACAGAAAATTACACTGAAGCCTCTACAATTATATATAATTACAAAATTTATTGTGTCCACCCTTTGCCTTTATTACAGCTTCCATTCTTTTTGTGAGACTTGCTTTCAGGTTTTAAAGTCTGAGAGAGATTTTTCCATGCTTCTTGTGAACACCTTCAAAATTCAGTCTTAGAAGTTGGTTGCATTTTCAGCTTGTCATGATCCAAGTAATTGAGTTGTCTTCTCACAATAGAAGGATTAACAGAATCAACTAGAGGAAAATGTTATTGCTCAGATGTTGCTCTTTGATGGCTCTTTGATAGATAGATGACAGTTTTTGGTTGTAGATGACAATGAGCGTCATCATGGCAAATCTGAACATGTGTGACTTTATTGAGATCTCTGCTAGTGAACTCAAGTGGAGATGTGTGAGTACAGGGTTTTTTTTCTCTCTGAAGAAATATATGAGCAGCAGGAGTCTCCATTATCCTTCCATCTGATGTTGTCTAAGAGATGATGTTAAAGGTGAAAGCTTTTAGTACTGTTTCTCTGATTGTGGTGACACATTTGGTGTACAAAGTCTTGAACTTGTTACTAGTCTTATTTTCTATGTATCTTTTTAGTTTTTTTAATTAAATTTTCCGGTTGTGGGAAATTTTGACTTGTTTTCCTCTGACTTTGTACTTTCTCATGCAGACGGATTGTTTTATATCTAATCTCTAAAGAAATATCTCCTTTGCCCTTTTTAGATGTACATGAGTATTTGCAAGGCCGCTAAGGTGAGATTTTGGATAGTTCGTTTTGTGAATGTGCTTTTAGTGTCTCTTTGAGTGGGAACTTAATGTTGGAAGGACACAACTGTAACTTTTTGGCTTTACAACAGGAAGAATGGAAGAGTTAAGGTGGCAGTAAAAAGTAAACAGTAGATCAATTAAATACTGTTAGATTTAATATTATGCCTTGTTGGAGGCTTTTGGGTAACTTTCTGTTAAATATACATTTCCTGCTTTTTTCCCGACACTGAAATGTGAATAATTTGTGCTTGGTGGCCATTTTGACTGGAAATTGAACAAAAAAAAAGGGTGGTCTCTTGACTTTTGCACACTGCTGAATACCTTGCGTAACTGCATCTAGTGCCGGGCAATATATTGTGTATATATATTCATACTGTGATGCACACTGTAATATTGCTTTTCGGTAATATTTTTTTTAACAATATTGTTTCTATTGCACTTCCATGCTATCCAGGACTTGACAGTTAAACTGCATTGTATATCACTTGCTGGGTGCTTCTGATTGCTTTGGGGAAAAACAGTTAAGAAATATATACATATAAGCTAAATAAGGAGTAGGTTTATTTTCTGGAAATCAGGTTTCTGTCTGTTTAACATTTCCATTACTGTGTATCAGTTTCCTTACTATGTAAGGTTCCCTTTGGTGTAACTTTAATATAAGAAAACAGAACAACAAAACTTTAGCCTAGAGTAGCAGCACTAAATAAGCATGGGATAATTAACATTGTTAAAATAAACTTAAATCATCTGATATTGTTACACTCTAATAAATTTGGAAAATGCTATTGCTATTGAACTTTATCTGTACTGCCAGCACTACCTTCAACTATTTCAATCTGTGTCAGGTCAGTTTTTTGAAGCCTCACTTACAGACAGTTATTTTGTTTCTAGCTTCAGTTAATTTCGCACTGTTTGGCTTTTTCACTAACGTGATTCATTAATATTGCAAATATATGCAAAAATATATTTGTATTCACTTTGTACCATGGATTAAATTACTATCCTTTGTGGATAGTATACTGGGAACTGGTATACAGGAATATGTGAATTCGTGCTGTGTTTCTAAAATTACATGTGTAGAAATACTTGCATATTTCTGATGTTTTAAGTGTATGCTTTTTTGATAACTATAATAATGTCCCTCAAAACCTACAAATCTATAAGTGAAGATGTCACATAATATAAATCTCTACCGCAAGAGTCCTGGGTGTGTACAGTAAGATTGAATTGTCGTGTAATATTTTAAATAAAACAATAAATGAAATAAAAAAGTTCTAATGGGAAATGATTTAGGGCTGGACATGGTCCACATATGTTGAGTAATGAGGTTTACTCCAAAAGGCATCAATTTTGGCATGGAAGGATGTGGGCCATGCAAATCCAAAACCCCTCATTTCCATCTAAATACACTTTTAATTTTTTTATGTATAATCTGTAAATGTTCCTCTAAACCATCACTATCTGTAAGACAAAATAAAGAGTAGCTTTGCATCTTAAAAACGCTTAGCACTGTCTGTTTTATTTTGAGTTATCTTCTTATTGATTTGTAATTCTTTTTTTTTTGTGTTGAGTTGCTTGATACAGAGAGATCGGGAATGTCCATTGTTGTGTGTGTGTGTGTGTGTGCGCGCATCTGGTTTTATCTGGTTACTGTGGTTGCACATCTCTCACCTCAGCAGGGCTTGCAGGTGCATGCCATGCTTAGTCTAACATCTCAATGGGGAGTCCCCATGGCTATATACCTTGGGTCCAAATAATCCACCGCTTGCTGATTATTGCTGCCAAAAACTCACTTGTGCATCATGGCGTGCCATAGTTGATTAATTGATATGATGAAAACCTTAAACTGTTTGATGATCAAATCAATTGCTCCCCTCTTTTCTCTGCTCTCTCTTTTTCTGGTTGTAGTAGTCACTGTAAGCCATGCTGCAGTACCTGTTCTGAGAGGAGGAAAAGGTTGTTTGTTCAGGACCCAGAGACGTGCCAGTGTTCCTGCAAACACTCAGAGGCTGACTGTAAACTAAGGCAACTTGAGCTCAATGAAAGGACATGCAGGTCAGTGTGTGTGTGTTAGGCCTGCACCAGTATATCATCTGTTAATCATTATTATCATATTGGCCTTTGCAATACAGAATCACAGAAGCCAGTATGCAAATTTCCAATTAATTTCTCTGACAAATTATATTAGTATTTTTTTTTTTATTGTGTTATGAGTATTCTGACCAAATCTCGGATGTTCCAAATGAGTTTCTGTGGGTGTTTAGATGAATCAAGGCATTCAGGCAATCAAACAAATGTAAATCAGTTTTGTCAAAATAATATAAGCCAGACTTTATTCAGAGCTTCTTTTTATTGTAAGCTTATTTACACTCACTGGCAGCTTTATTAGGAACACCTTAAAACTTGATTAGGAGCAAAAATTATCTTATGACTTATGACCATGGCAAAGTTAGTGCCTGACAGACTGAGTATTTCAGAAACTGCTCATGTCCTGGGACTTTCACACACAACAGTCTCTAGAATTTGCATAACGTTGTGTAAAAGTAAAAAAGAAAAAAAATCCATCCATGTTGATGAGAGTGGTCAGAAGAGAATGGCCAGACTTCTTTGAGTAAACTCAAAGAGCCACTCTATATTACAGTGGTGATTGGAAAAGCATCTCTGAACATACATGTCAAACCTTGAGGTGGATAAACTATGATAGCAGAAGACCACATCAGATTCCACACTTGTCAGCCAAGAACAGGAATCTGATGCTACAGTGGGCACAGCTGACTAAAATTGGATTGTTGAAGACTGGAAAAAGTTGCCTGGTCTGTTAAATCTTTAAAGGGTCAGAATTTGGCATAAACAGCATAGATCCATGCACCCAACCTGCCTTGTGTCAACATTTAAGCTGGTGTTGGTTATGTAATGGTCTGGGTTTTCCTTGCCACACATTGGGCCCCCTAATACTAATCGAGCATCAGATCGCTGTATCTGAATACTGTTGTTGACAGTGTACATCCTTTATTGCTACAATCCTGCATAATAATGTGCAAAGCACTAGTCATCTCAAACTGGTTCCATGAGCATGACAATGAGCCCAGGAACTTCAGTGGCTTTCCAAGTCACCAGATCTGAATCTGATAGAGAACCTTTAGGATTGTTTAGGAACCTTAAGGAATGAATGTGCAGGTGACCAGAATCTCTAAAGAATGTTTCCAGCTCCTTGTTGAATCCATGCCACAAATAAAACAGGTTGGTCTGAAGGCAAAGGGGGGAGGCAATATTAGAATTATGTTCCTAATTAAGTGGCTGGTGAGTGTATATTGCCCTGGTGAGTATTAAAGAAATACAACTGTTACAGTAACAGTCAAGCAGAATGTTGGGGTACTGCCTTAACCTCAACTATACACACCTTTCCATTACTCTAGTGATCAATAGCTGCATTTGGAAAGAGAAATCTGGGTAATTTTGTGAATCGCAAAAGCCTGAATTGTCCCAATCTAACTTTTTTCAGTATCATTCAGCTCTTGTGAAGTGTATTTTTGGTATATTTTTGGTATATGTTGGTGTTGATGTATCATCACATCTAATCCACTCTCTTTTCCTAGATGTGACAAACCAAGAAGATGATTTGGAGATCAGCCTACATACATAAAGACATAAATATATGGATTCTGGGATGAAGGAATATTTGCTAATAATGTGTGGCACAGCACTTTGACCTGTCTTTTTAAACTTTGACCTGTCAACTCTGGACTCTGGAAGCATTCCCCCTGGACTGATTGAGGAAAGTGTGCACAAGAGAGCAAATGAAATCTGCTCCTTGTATATTTCCGCAAATATACAAGGGCTGAAAAGTACCATAAGAGTAGAATGAATTGCTGCTAAAGAGACTGAACATATCAAAGAGGTTGGACATATCAAATGACGTCTCATTGCATTTGGCTAACGTGGCTTTTGACAAAAATCTAAATCACTCATTGAGCTTCATCGTATCACTGGATTTGCCGTGGAGTTCTGTTTGGTTTTTTTTTTGTTTTTGTTTTTTGTTTTTTTTGGGCAATATATTCATAAACAAAACAGACATTTAAAAAAGACATAGACAGGAAAAATTTTATGTCCCTCAACAGCACATCAAAAAGCAATGGAGTTTGGGATGATCAGCTATTTAGAAGATGCAGTTTTCAACAACTTGTTCTGCAGGTTTGCAGTGTCTGGGGCAACACATCTTTTTGATGGAGACCATGTGAAATCTTAAGGTTCCAGAATTGTGCTGAGCGTTTGCACCAAACCATTTTGTGCATGGAAAGATTGAAGAGGACCTTGGGTGCATCTGCTTTCATAAAGGGATGTTAGTTATTCAGTATGGAAACCACTTTGCCTAGATTATGTGACTTGATTTCATTCTTTATTGAAAGACAGGTGACTACTTGAGATTATAATGACCTGTTTCTGTAAACCTGTGTGAATGTTTTTTTTTTTTCTCTTCTCATACAGCCTGCAGTGAAACACAATGTGGAGAATTCAAAAACATGAGGTCATTTCAATGTTCATTGCTAATATCCCTTATCGTATGACACCCCAGAGTCCATAATTTAAGAACTTTAGTATATTTTTAGTATTCTTGCTCTCTGTATTTAATTGGATCTATTTATGTGCAGTGTTATATTGTGATTACTTTTTTTCCTCAGTATTTGGTGGTCAGAAAAATGCTTCTCCACATTTTTCTGTAGATGAGAAGATAACATTCCCATGACTGATCATTTCTGTTTCTCAATTAGCCTCAAAAAGTTTTTCGCTGCATATGTATGCTTTGTGTGATTTGTGTTGTGATTGTGTGTGCGAGGAAGTGTGTATGTAGTGTGACTGAACAAGAACTGTGTGTGGGAATGAATGCTCCATACCTTTAACAATAAAACATAGCCAAAAGAAATCATATGCCACCAAACCCCTACTACCTTTATATTTTTTTGTTGTATCATGGAAGAGACTGCCTGGTTTTAGTTTATTTGGTTTATTTATTTACTCCCTGTAAATATGTTCATTAACATCTGTCTGTCATGTAGTAAAACATATTTATTTTCAAATTAAATTGCCTTTTTCTATAAAACTTTACATGAAAACCCTGTCCTTTTGATCATTTTGCTTTTTGGCACAAGCACGCAAAAGGTACTTTTTTGTGCGTAAATAATTTTCAACTGTAGTGGTTGAAACACTTTCGAAATAGTAAGCATAAGAGATTAAATATGTCAGCAGAACTGTCATCAGCCATTCAAAACTCAAAACCAGTTCAAAGAAACTAGCTAAATATCACCTTGTTTTATTTTTTTTTTCCACACTGCTCTGCTTTTGTTCAGGTAGAGACTAATAAGAGGATTATAATTCGTTATTCCAATCATTTGTGATTCCTTATCTAGTAGGAAAATTCCCCAACTTCAGTGATAGTGATTTGTTGACTATGGAAGTGTGTGCCACCTTGGGGGGGAAAAATAGGGAAGCCATACAATCTGAGAGTTGTGCCAAAAAACAAGGGTACTAGAGTTGTTCATTTAGCACCCATGGCTATTTCACTGTTATACATCACATTTGTCAGTTTCTTGTTTCCTTATCCCAAACTCATCAAATCACTACTCTACTATTAACTTCTTTTGTGTAACTGTCTATGTGGAATGCTAGCTTAATTCCTTCAAACTGAGTTGATGGAAAAAATACAATGTTAAAATGTTAGAATGTAAATTATAAATGTTAGTATCAGGCACAAATGCACGTTTTTTGGTACATACTCGTGGAATTCCATAATATTTGTTCTAAAATGATTGCTGCTTCTGTGTGTGTGCATATTATCATTTAACTTTCCTAAATAGATAAGTCTTCACCGGATGAACTGGACTGAGGGCACTTGTAATGCAATTAACACCATGTAAAGCAGAAGTGATTAAGAAAACCTATGAAGCACTATATGTCCAAAAGTTTGTAGACACCTGCTCATCGAATTTTAAATCAAGGATTTTAATAAAGAATTTGTCTTTTTGTTTGGAGGATTCGATTGCATTCAGCCAGAAGAGCATTAGTGAGGTCAGGTATTGATGGTGGATGCCACTCCTACTCATCCCAGAGGTATTGGATTGAGCTTTTTCACTCAGTGTGGGGCTTTATACCCCGCTAACCGTTATCTGGTACTAGCCATTTTGACCTTAGGCTCAAGTGGGGCTGCTCTAGAGCATCTCATTTTATTGGCAGTGCTTTTCTATGGAGATTATATAATCTCTCTGCGTACAAAGAAAAGCCTGTATCATCAATGATTGCACCTTAAACCAGTTGAATTTACTCATTAGAAGGGCTGTCTGGAAACTTTTGGACATGTGTGTGTGTATATATATATATATATATATATATATATATATATATATATATATATATATATATATACAAAGTTAAGTCCAAAGTTATGTAAAGAATTTAGTCAAAGCTTTGATAACTTATGACATCAAATGCCATCGTAATACAGGCATTATGTTCTTATATTAAAGAAACAAGCCAGTATTTAATGCATTCACATTCTATGGAATTCCACAAGTTTTAGAACGTTATTACACTGTCACAATATATGCTACAATAATAAATTAGTGAACTTAAACTGAAGGTATAATTCCTTATTGTAATCATAAGAAATACCTTTGTATGGATACCTGTGTTGAATGAATGTTCAGTCCACTGCTGTGCCCTCACTAATGTCCAGTTGCAAATTGTATTGTAATAGTATGCAGCAAAGCAGTTGTGCAGGGCAGATCATAATGGTACATCTACGGCAATGTTGGCCAAACTTTCTGTGTTGGGTGGCCATGGTGCAATGCATATGGTGTGTTGAGGACCAAAAAGACAAAACAACATACAAAAAAGCCCATTTTTGGCAGTGCTACTCTAGAGAGATTTTACAAGCATGTATCACAGAAGTCCTATGTCTGTATGCCTCAGTGCCTTACAAAAGTATTCAGCCCCATTGAGAGTTATCAATATTTTCTGTATTTTAAATGATCATATAATACCTACGGATATTTTTTTCAATCACTATTTTTGTTGCATACTCATATGCTCTAACATTTTCAACAAAAAAATGTTTTTTGTCAGTAGATTTGAAAGAAAATGAAGAAGTTAAATATGTTGCGTTTGTATTCACATACCTGTGCTCTGGAAAGAGATATAAAAAACCCTATCAATGTCACAGTTACCTGTTATATGGATATACTTGTTTTCTACATGTGAACGATTAAAACAGCTGCCACATTTTCTAGGAAAAACAAGAGGATTTTAAGGACTAAAGGTGCATAAATTAGGAAAAGTACAAAATAATATCCAAATGTTTTGATTTCCCATTGACAACTGAATATTTAAAAAGTGGAGGCTGAATCCAGGTACTGTCCAGAAAAGGCCTCTGTTCAAAAACTCATCATGTGAACAAGACATAGCAAGATTTAAAATGACGAGGGAAGTCAGAGAAGCCAATAATCACTCTGAAGTATCTACAGAGTTCAGTGGCTGAAAGTGGAATAAAGGAGCACTGGTCTACAATATAAAGAGCTCTATGTAAAACTGGCCTGTATGGCAGGGTGCCAAGAATGAAGCCATTACTCTAGACATTAAAAGCAGATCTGGAGTTGGCAAAATGCATGACAGTGACTCAACTAAGACATGGGAAAAGGTTCTGTGGTTAGATGAGACCAAGATAGAGTATGATGTAAATACAGCCTATTTTATGTAAATACCATTGCTGTGAGTATGGTGGTGGCAGTATCATGCTTTGGGGATGATTTTCATCAGCTGGGGTCAAGAATTTCATTAAAACTGAGGGAAGAATGGAAAAAGCAAAATACAAGGTAATACTGCAAGGTGATCCACTTTAATATACTTAGAACCTGTTTGGGAAAGAGTTTGCTTTGCAGCAGAACAGTGATCCAATGCACAAGGCCAATGCAACAGTGGAGTGTCTTAATAATTCCCCAGTACTTCAAAAATGTCAGAAAAATAAATGACTCAAAATACATCTATTATTGTGTAGTTTTTTTTCTTAAATCAAAGGAATTAATAGGGAGCCAAAAAAAAAAACAAAACAAAGTGCAACTTTGCTGCACTAATAGCCAACCACTTTTAGGGAGGCTTTACACTAGATGTTTGAACATTGCTATGAGGATTTGATTGCATTCAGCCACAAGAGCATTAGTAAGGTTAGGTACTGATGTTGGATGATTAGTCCAATTCTGGGGGGCTTTAAACAAAAGAAGCACCTCAAAAGAGTTATGCATAAATCTGACCTATAAGGCAGGGAGGCAAGAAAGAAGTCATTATTCAAGAAAATATCTGAAGCACATCTGGAGTTTGCCATAAAGCATGAGAGTGATTTAACGAAGACGTGGGAAAAAGTTTTGTGGTTTGATTCAGGACCTCAGGCGGTCATTTAGTGGGGCAATACCCCAATTAAGCAGTCATCATGCTCCACTATAACCCATTATTTTTTGTACATGCTCTTATAAAGGCAGGCGGTAAAAAACAAAGTGAAACTAAACGTTGTGTTTGTTGCTGCTGCCTGCTGTGCATGGTTGATATATAGACTACATCGTAGTACGATTTGAATGCATAACTCTTCATTGGTTGCATTATCCTATCTATTTTCCAAGTGACCACTGTGTTTCGAGATTATGGCTGATATATCTGGTTGGGGGGTGGGACTCGTTTTTAGTGAAATCAAAGAAAGCGTGCTTATTTTTAAGTTATTGTTTTGTCCATAACGTGCAGTTTGCGCTAGAACTAGGCCACACAGGTAGAAGAAAGCAGACCAGCTAACAGGATAAAGCTACCGTATTTAAAGTAGAGCTGATATAAAAATCCCATATAGTGCCAAACTAACTCCGGCACTAACATAGCTACCATAGTGAACTTATTGAAACAGATTTCTACATTAGACATTGCTGTTTAATGGCACTACTTTATGGTTTTCTGTCTGTACCTCACCATAAACTCCCACCATAAACACAATTAAACAGTTTTAATGAAACTTGTTTAATGTTTAATTGTGTTTATGGTGTAATTGGTGTAGGAGGTTAGGCAATCAGTAACTGGTAGAGTGGCACTCATAGTGCCACACACAAACGATCCTTTACATTGTGATATCAGCCTATTAAAAAAAAGCCACAACACATTATAAAACCATAAGAAACACTTGTTTCTATGGGTTTTTTCAGCAGGGGAGCCACTTTAGCCCAAAGCTATGCGACTATAGCAGTAAAACTAACTTGAACACAAACTCTTTGCAATCTTTTGTTGTGGTTCACGAAAACAGCTAGTGTTACAGACGTACTCAAACTAATTACTGAATTAGTTAGAATTAATCTGCATCTGCCACTCAGGATTGGCACTAACCAAACGCCAATGGCACTTGCCGTTTACTTATAAGAATCAGCAATGGGCATCTGCCTCTCAAAGCTGTAACACTGCAAAGTTTTGATACCATCTTCAGCTGTTTATAAGTGGCACCCACTGTTTAAGAAGTGAACTCTGTGCAGCTGTGACAGCAGCGTTCATGCACAGAGACTCCACTGACATTACTACTTGTTCTCTTAAGCTGTACTGTTGACTTACAAAGTTTTCTTTAACCCATGTGTTAATATTATTTTAATAATACTACATAGTTATTGTGAATATGTTCAACGGTGTTACTGTTACTGGAATATGTCAACTATCTGGAACTGACCATCTGGAAAAATATAAGGCATGTATTTTTTTTTATATATGAGACACATTTCAAGTACATTGTTTAATTCAAAATTTGATTGCACACACAGCTACATGGGAGATGGTCGAAGTTTAATTTAATCGTGAATGTTATCATTAAATCAGCCTGGTAATTTTTTTCATTATTTACTTCAAAGTGCTCACATTTCTGTTCTCTGTACTGTACACTGATGTAGCAACGATCACTCTGTTATATAAGAACTATTTAATTTGGCAGGTAAACCTGTGGTTGCCTTGGTTATTCGGACTAGGCTGTCAGCCTTGGGAGACAAATCTGCTTATTTCTCTACAAGAACAGATGTTGCGACACCTAAGAAGTTCCACTACCAACACACTGCCT